AATTTGGCGGGAGTTTCGCAGAAGCAGATGACACAAGAAGGCCAGCAGACGAAAGAAAAAGTTTAGAAACTCAGAAAGGCATCAAATATATGTGTAGTGTTGTGTAATATCAACATCTTTTATCTTTTAATGCCATAACAATTCAGACTTCTTCTCTGGTAGGACGGGAGAGCCAAAGAATTTTACATGGATTTTTCAGATTGCGGGGGCTCTATGCCCCTAAGACAGAGATCTGGAAGGGATAACTGTAATAGGCTCATCCTTGAGAGCAGAATAAAAACCTATGCAGGAGAGCTCTGCCACGTCCTCTCTGAGTGACGTGGGCAGGCCTCTGCCTCTTTCGGGGCCCCTGCCAGCTCTGGCTCTCTGATGTTCTAGGTAGGGAGGGGGCTGCCCCTCATGGTGGTCAAGGGGAGGGGTGAGGTTGACTCACCCAGCTCATTGCTGCCTCGTGTCTCTCCTCTCAGACAGTGACAGGATTTTATCATTGGAAGCAACATGAAAGAAAAGGCAGGGATCATATGCTTTTCAGGGGGGACCTTCCCATCTGGCCGGCAGCCATAACCTTCTCTGTCTCTCCATTAGAATGGGACCTCCCAGATAATTTAACAAATGCTTCATTCATTCATTCATTTATTCTTGAAAAGGCATGGAAATCAAATCTTGGTTGACTTGACCCTGTTTTGAATGCACCAGAGGAAGTCAGATTTTGTTGTTGATGTGTGTGTGTGTGTGTGTGTGTGTGTGTGTGTGTGTGTGTGTGTGTGTGTGTGGTGTTACTTAAAGAGACTTATGCCTATACCTTCTGTAAACCCAAGACTCATTGCATGGGCTGAATATTCATCTCCTAATTTACCTAATTTTTGTACATTGGGCTTTTGAGAAACCGAGCCACACCCGCTCTAGAAAATGAGCCAATCCAACCTGGAGATGTTTTGCATGACTTCCCCCTCCCCCCCCCCCCCCCCCCCCCCCCCCGTGTAATGGGGAGTCTAGAGGGTGGAGGGAAGGAGAGATTTTGCAAGTGAAAACAAAAAATTAAAAGGAAATAGAAAATGAGCCGCCGGTCAGAGTAGCTGCTTGCTGGGTGGCAGCGCTCCTCCCCTGCTGACTCAGGGATTCTGCGCAGGTGTTGATGTGGAGGTTGCCAGCCAGCCAAGAACTTCAGATATTTTGATAGACATTTTGATAACTTAAGCTGACTTTCTTGTTGAACAAACTGATTACCCAACTAGCTGCCTGTCTTCTGGTGCAGATCACCTCCAAACTGCCTTCTCCACTGGGACGCTTCTTCATTCCAACACTGTTTTCTGAAATAGGTCATTCTTCTCCAGCCTGCACCCCGGCCTGGCCTGGCCTAGCCAGATTCCAAAGGCCTCTTCCCTTCCTCTGGCTTCCGGGGTCTCCCTGGCTTCTCCACATCTCCAGGACAGTCCATAATACCAGGGGCATGAGAAGATCTACTCAGGACTTTCTGAAAGCTACCCAGTCAGGGTACTAATCCTAAGGTGTGTCAGTCAAGAAAAAGCCAGGTAAACCTTTATGGAAATCAGTGTTTGAGTCTGAAAGGGCACTTCTGTCAGCCCCTGATTGGAGTGTCTGTGACCAGCCGCTCATCTTCCTCCTCGAGCTCTCTTACCCAACAGGAGGTTGGGCATCCTTCCCTCAGGAGACGATTCGGAAGATGCCCGTCCTGGGCAGCTGCCCTACTGGCTCACCCCCATGTCCGACGGACCGAGGGTCACACTGCCACTTCTGTTCATGCCAGATTGTCACAGGTGGACTTGTGTGTCCAAGCCAGGCCTGATCGCTCGCATGCATGTATGTGCATGTGCATGTGCGTGTGCGTGTGTATGTGTGTGTGTGTGTGTGTGTGTGTGTGCTCGAGCACGGGCGCTCGCAATGTGACACAGAACTAGATATTCAGATTTGTTCTCAAGGTCAGAATTCCTCTATATCGAAAGCCAGGCATCTTCAGCTAATGGAAAGCTAAGAGCTCCCTCAAAGTAGTTGGTTATCCTGGGTAAGAAAGAATCTCTGGATAAAATCTAGTTCTTGAAAAAAAAAAAAGACGAAATGACTAGAAACCTCCAGAGGCCCCGGGGACCATAAATAAATACCTTTGCTGAGGTTACAAACTTGGATGATGCCAGTGCCTGAAGCTAGGGTTTCTCATCCCCTCTAATTTTCTTTCAAGTTCCCAGTTGTCCAAGCTGACCACAAGGCCATTTCAGCATTTCTGCAAGTTCTCAGTCATTCCTGGGCTCTCACCCTTAGCCTTCTCCTCCTTCCCCACTTCCTCCTCCTCCTCCTCTCCCCCCTCCCTTTCACTCCATCCTCCTCCTTTTCTTCCCCCACTTTCCCTCCTCCTCCTCTTCCCCCCTCCCCTTCACTCCCCCCTCCTCCCCTCCCCTCCTTCTTCCTCCTCCCTTCCCTCCACCTCCTTTTCCTCTCCCCCCCTCCCCTTCCCCTCTTTTCTCTTACTTAGCCTGTCCAGCCCAGAGGCTGGTACCCAGTGGGCATTCAGCGGCTTTTAGTCTATGGATCTGACCCATTCTCTGTTCCTTAGCCTGGAGAGGTAGGAATGTTTAATTGAGCATGGGGGGGGGACGGAAGGCTGCTATTGGCTCTCTGAGATTGATGCACAAAATTCATCTACCTTCCCCCTCCCATTTACCAGAGATCACCAAGGCCTTTACTGACAAAACTCTGCATTGCCCCAGCCTCCGCTGCCTTCCTTCAGGAGGGCTTCCTTGTAGCAGTTGGCCCAAGAAACCTCAGCTGGGTCATGCCCCCAGCCTGGATCTCTCCTTTGCCCTTTGCCCTTTTCCCTTCTCACAAATTCTCCTGTGCTTTCACCGCAGCTCTTAGGGATTACATCCTGTTTCATAAGAACAAGCCCAGTGCCATCTTGGCACACATCAGGCGCTGAAACACAATGTGTGGAGCTGAATATTGAAGGCACACAGCCCAGCACACCCTGTGACTTTTGGGAAGCCTTCAAAATTAGCTAAGGAGGAGGTAGTGGGGAGGATGGGTACTTGTCATCAAGCCCCTCCTTCCCCCCAATAATCTTTTCTCCCACCTCCCCACCCACAGCCAAAATCCAGGGCAAGGGGCACTCCCGTCTCTCCTCTCTCTCTCTCTCTCTCTCTCTCTCTCTCTCTCTCTCTCTCTCTCTCTCTTTCTCTCTCTCTGTCTGTCTCTCCATCCCTCTCTGTCTCTGTCTCCCTCTGCCTCTCTATCTGTATCTCTCTCTCTCCCCCTTCTCTCCTCTCAACCTGTGTCTCCTCTCTGTCTCTGTCTCTCCTCTCCCACTGTCTCTTTTCTCCTCTGTCTCCTCTCTGTCTTTCCATCCCTCTGTCTGTCTGTATCTCTCTCTCCTCCTTCTCTCCTCTCTGTCTCCTCTCTGTTTCTCCATCCCTCTGTCTGTCTCTGTCTCTCTCCCCTTCTCTCCTCTGCCTCCCTCTCTGTCTCTCTCTTCCCCAGACTCCCTTCTCTATCAGACCCTCACCACCAGTCTCTTGACCTCCCTAGTTCTGTCGCTGTCTGTCTGGGTCCTTAGCTTTGCCTGTTTTGACCTGGGACACTCAGTCTGTCTTTGTCTAACACTACATCTCTCTATGTCTCCACACCAGTCTCTAACTCTTTGTCTCTCACTGCCTCTCCAGCTGTCTAAGATCTCTCTCTGTCTCATGGCTCTTTCCCTGCCCATCTGTCTCTACATCTCTATTTCTAGCTGTCTTATCTTCTTTTTTCCCTCAAGGATGCTGACCCACCTACAGGTGCACATCTCCCTCACTCCTCTAAAAGCTCCTGCTCACCTGGCCATCCCCTCAAGCTGTTTTCTTCTGTCTCTCCACTTAAAAAAAATAGCTTCCCTTTCTTGCACCCCTGGCCTCACCACCCACTCCCTTCTCAACCTCCCCCCACACACACACTTTTCTCTCTGAGGTTATAGGAATCTCTAGGTTGGTAAACCAAGCCTCTTCCTGACCCCTCCACAGCTTCTGATGCTGGGGATTATCCCCTGCCTTTCCAGGGTTCTGTGATCCTCCCCCTTCCTGTGTGACCCCTCCCCAGTTTCCTGCTAACAGTGGGGTTGCCCAGGGCTCTGGCCGGAGCCCTCAGCTCCGGGAGTGAGCCCTCCCTCCCTCCATCCCTCCATCCCTCCTTCCATCCCTCCCTTCCTCTTTCCTTCCCTCCATCCAACCATCTCTCGCTCCCTCCTTCCCTCCCTTCCTCCCTCCATCCCTCCTCCCCACCCTCCCTCCCTCCTTCCGTGGTCCCCGGGCTCAGCACTCCCGGACCTGCAGTACACAGTAGGGTCTTTGGCCAGTATGCCCCATGCGCAGCCGGTGTAAGCTTTGTGTCTAGAGCTGCGGCTTCACTGGTGCGGGGTGGGAAGTGGACACTCCCGTGGTGCTGCTGGAGGTGCCCAGGAGGTTCCCTGGCGGTGCCGAGGCGCCCCCAGGCTGTCCCCGGACCCCTCTCCAGCGGGGATGAGCACAAGGAGGAGGGATGCGTCCGGCTGCCTCTGGCCCCAGCTCGTCTACCCCCGTCCCCTCCCGTTGGATGCTCCTTTACTTTGCGTCTTTGCACCGACATGAGGACCAGCTCTGGAGCGGGCCTCAGGCAGCATCTGAACCCAGGGCGGCAGCCGGCCGAGCTGGGGCGGGACATTGAGCTTCCCGGGCCTGGCCCGGGTCAGTTTCTCTTCTCTAGCTCCCTCCCTCCCTCTCTCCTTAGGTGGGCGGGGCTGGCCTGGATGGGCCAATGGCTTTGCGGCATCCCTCCGAGTCCCCGCCCCCCGCAGGTCCTGGGGCCCGGGACGTACCATAGTCTGAATAGTGGCGGGGGAGGCAGGTTGGGCATTGGACGACTGTACGGGCGGGGACGGCCGCTCTCTCGCAGGCATGGGTGAGAGGCTCCCCCGCACCGCTCTCGGGTGGTGTGGTCCGGGGCGAGGCCTGGATGCGGGGCGGGGCTGTCGTAAAGTGCAGACCTCCGGGCGCGTGGGGCAGGCAGGCAGGCCTGGCAGTGACGGGCGGAAGGACTAAGAGGCCGGCGGCGGCGCGAGCATGCGGTTCCCGGAGCACTTCTTCTGCGCCCTCCTGGCGGCGGCGGCGGCCATGGCCACGGCCTGCGTGCTGGCCCAGCGAGCGCCCCCGGTGAGGCCCGCGCCGCGGGGGCGGGGGGGTTCACCTGCGCCGGTGCTACGGGCGGGCAGACAGAGGCCCGCAGGGAGCCGCCACTCCTGGAGAGGTGGCCAGGGCTGCCCGCCCCCTGCGTGGTGACTGTGGGCCGGGGACTCCGGGCTCCTTGGGCGTGACCCAGGTGTTGCCCCCCCGTCACCACTGCTGCTGCGCTCGAGGTGGTCAGTGGGGGGGGCAGCGATGACCACTGAGGCCGTCAGCAGGGCTCGGGTCTCCCTCCCCAGCTTGCCCGGGCTGCTGCCACTGGTGCGCCCCACCGGACCCTGCTGACCAGCAGGACAGCTCCCCCAGGGGTGCACCCCCTCCCCCCCGCCCCGTGCATTCCCCCAGTGCTCCACCTCCTCGTAGCCCAGCCTTGGTGCCGGGCCGCACCCACGCCCAGGGAGAATTCTTCTCTTGAACCCATTGGCCGTTTGGCCAGGGTGACTGGACTGGTCCATCAGGGCAGCGCAGGAGAGCCGACCCCGAGCCGGGCTAGGACAGGAAGGAGAACGTGGAGAAGGGCTCGGATGCTAGACCCCCGTGAGTTCTGTAGATTTGGAACTGGGGGCGTGGCGGGGTCCCCAGAGCTGTTCGTGGTCTTGGCCGGGCCTTCCTCCTCAGGGACAGGGACAGCTGTGGGCTTGGAACAAGTCCAGACCTGGAGGTCTTACCCCAAGGGCCCAGCTGGTTTCCTTTGTACTCCTGCGTTTTCTATTTTATGCATTTAAAGTCAGGGCTCTGAGCAGGGGCAGACAGCCTGGGGCTGCAAGGAAAGGTTAAGCCCCTGAGGGAGGAGAGGGGTCTGGTGTGCTCCCTAGGGAGAAGGCAGGTGAAGGCTGAGGCCTGGGGACACCCCGTGTGGTAGAAAGAACACTGAATTCATCGTTGGAAGGCCTAGGTGTGGCCTTGGAAGCCTTGGTTAAATCCTGCCTCCCCACTTGAAGCCTGTTTGACTTGGGGCAAGTGACTTCTCTGGACCTTGGTTTCCTCCTTTGTAGAATGAGGGGGTTGGACCAGATGACCCTGGGGTGGGGGTGTGTGTGTGTGTGTGTGTGTGTGTGTGTGTGATGGGAGCCCTTCCTTGGGACGCCACCCAGCGTGGCCTCCTGACCCTCTGAGACGCTTGTCCTGCCCATCATGGAGTGCTGGGGTTGTCCTTCAAGGGCCTCTAACACCCCAGGGATGCCCTCGCTATTCTGGCCTTGCTGAGGGGACGCTGGTATTTGGAATATGCTTGTCTTCCATCTTATTGCTGACCAGCACTGATCACCCACTGGACATTCTCCCCCCGAAGTCCTGAGAGTGTCTCAAGCTCAGCCTCACCATCTCTTCCCCCCAAGCCCTAAACTCTTGCTAACCTCCCTGCCTCTGTCGGGGACACCCCCCTTCTTGTTCCCAACCTCAGAGTCACCTGGACCTTGCACCTTCCTCACCCCGTCTACAATCAGCAAGCTTTTATTTAACGCCACCAGCGCCAGGTACCGCACTGGGCTCGGAGACCCAAAGGAGAGAGGGACTCACGTGTGGACGTGTGCAGACACGCGTATACGCACACACACTCGCGGGTGGCGCGGGGAGATAGAGACCTGACAGCTGCCCCATCTCCAGGGCCGCCCAGCCCTGTCCAGCATCCTGGTGCCAGAGCGGCACACAGGGCAGCCACCCTGGGCACTCTCTCCTTTCATCTCCTTTGGACGAGAGGAGGATGGGGCTGCCACACAGCCAGGAGCTCTGGCCTAGGGGTTCCAGAAGGGACTCAGACCCAAGGCCACTGTCCCTGATTGTCCTCGCAGGGAGAATGATGGCCCAGGCTGGTTACACCATAGGTACACTGAGGGCCCCTTGGTGACACTCCTTTGTAAACAAGTCAGGGAGGTTCTGCAGAGGAGTCAAGATGAAGGGCTAGGCCCGAGTGGAATGAGCTGGGTAGAGTCCTCTCTCCTGGGCTGCAGGGCCAGCTCCCCTGTGTCTGGGGCTCTAGGGAGCTCTCCTGCAGGTCCCTGTCCGCAGGACCACCTCTGGTCCTTAGTGCACACACAGAGACACCCCTCCCCCCGCCCACCGAGATGTTGCCATGTACAACAGGTACAAGCTGGTCTAGTTCCCAGGTCTCTGACATCAGCCTGCTCCTCTCATGGATCCATGTAACTTCTGGGTTTTTGTTTTTGATAAAGAAGTGGCTTAGCTATTACCAACAGCCCTTTTTGCAGCCAGCCTTTGAGGGGAAGGAGCCAAGCTGTCCTTCTCCCTTTGAGAACATTCAAGGAAACCCCCTACGAGGCCTCTGGACGGTTGATATGTGGTAGATGGCATGGGCTGACCGGCAGGATCGTGATAGACTGGTTGGTCTACATGGGGCTGGCACCAGGGGCAGGTTAGCTCTCTGCTGGTTGGTGCTCTGTGAGTGCCTTCTGTACCCTAGCGGGCAAGGTCATTGTCAGGGTATCGGGCTAGAACCACGGCTGCCTGGCCCACGTCTAGATCCCCGTCAGAGGAAACATATGTTCTATGGATGAGCAGGGCAACAGAGGAAGCACCAGGTCGTTTAATGGGGTCTCCAAGGCCTCAGTGGAGAAAGTGGCCCATCATCCTGAAACTGATGATTGATTGGTGGGCAAGGCTTTGACGAGATCTCTGTAACATCTCATTCCTGGGTGTCTTTCCCTGCAGTCACAGCCCCCAGGCCCTCACCAGCTATGTGCCAGGGTCTGTGCTGGGCACCCAAGGTACACAGGCAGAATGAACAGGCCCTGCCTCAAAGGCTTACCTTTCTTTTTTAACTAGAAACAACATATTCACGTATAAGTAAATACAAGGTAATGGGGGGGGCAGGGCAGAGAAGGGAGTGGCATTCAGGCGATCAAGGCCAAAGGCCTCCTGTAGGAGCCAGTGCTGGTGCTGGGCCCTGAGGGAGGCTTGATCTGAGTAATGCTCCTCCTCTGAGTACCCTGGTCATTAGGTCTTGGGTGCCTGCCACCTCTGGGGAGGGACACAGCCTGTTCAGAGGAGGGGCAGCCACAGTGGGGAGGGCTCTGAATGGCAGCCAGAGGGTAGAGCATTTGGAGGCACTGAGGGTGATTTGGACTAGAGAAGAGAAAACAGCTGTTCCCAGGACCACCGAGAGGGTGGAAGCTTCTCATGGGATCCATGAAGTTCAGGTGTGCTTTCTTGTCAGTCCTCAGTCTAGGCTCTTCAGCAGGGGCCGGTGCCTGGAAACATCTTCAGCTGGGTGTGTTTGTGAAGGGTTCCGAGCACAAAATACATTGCCAGCCCAGAGAATCCTTCCAGAACGTGTCCTCTGCCATACTCTGAAAATCCGGGGTCATCTCTGTAGCGCGTTAAGGTGTCAGAGTGGGGCTTTGTGGGGAGTGAGGACTTCCCAAGCAGCCTGCACCCGAACCAGAGTCTGAGCGGCCTAGAGCCTTCCAAGGAGGGGGGCTCACGCCTCCCTGCCACCCCCACCCAAGCCATCACCTTTTCTCCACTGCTCCTTCCTCTACCCTTTCGGGCCAAGCAGACTAGTCCACCCTCTCTTCCCTATGACCGTCACCTTTCAGATACTTGGATGCCATGCTGTTCCTTCCAGGTTTTCTCTATTCCAGGCTAATCATCCCTAGCCCTAGTCTCACATGTTTCCTGGTCTCTATCCTGGCCCAGCCTCTTCCGACATTCCCTCTTGTCTGGCTTTCCTGAAATGTGGCCCCCAGAATTGAACCCAGGAATCCAGATGTGGCCACCACAGGACCAAGGACAGCTGGAGAGTTCACTCCTCCTCAGTGTGAGCTTCCTTGCTGGCCGTCTCAACTTGTAGATGCCTCTAAAACTCCAGTTGTTTTTTACGTGAACTGTTGTCTCACCGTGGCGCTGCCATCTTGTATTTGTAAAGTAGATCCTTGGGATCCCAGAGTGACATCACACCCATATCCCTATTAAATTTTATCTTACTCAGTCGAGCCATCTTTTGGGTCTTGGGTCTGAGATCCGGCATCCTAGCTCTCCCTCCAAGCTTTATGCCATCTGCAAATGTGATAAACATGTCATTCATGCCTTTGTTCAAGTCACTGGATAAAACGTTGGCCAGGCTCAGGTCAAGGGCTTCACGAGGCACAGCATTCCAGGTGGACATCTACCCATTGTTGACCACTCTGAGTCTTCCTGTCACTTCCAAATCCATTTCTCTGATTGAGTTAGACTCAAGTCACTCACATCTCCCTATTTTATCCCCAAGCAAAACACAACTGTCATCATCAGATGAGTGAGTGAAACCAAAGGCCCTAGTTAGTTCTGCAACCCCCTGATCTGCTGGTCCAGTCCCTGGGTGAAATACGGGGCCGTTCACTGTGCTGGTGTCACTGATGACTGCTTCCCTTGTGTGCGCTGGGATTTTGCCAGCCGTAAGTCAAGCTTGTTGGCTTCCTCTGATTTCCAGACTGTATTGTCTTTGTTGAAAATAAAGAATTTAGTCCTTGGTGCCTCAGGCCTTCTCCAAGGCGGTTCAAGAATCACAGACTGTCACTGCCTGGTCTTTCCTCTTGAGGGTGCAGTTCATCTGGCCCCAGCGACTAGAACCCATTAGGGTCGGCTGGACGGTTCCCCAAGTTATTTTTGGGATCCACTCGCTGTGAGCCGGTGCAGTGTGGATAGAGCGCCAGGCCTGGAGTCAAAAAGACTCATCTTCCTGAGTTCAAATCTGGCGTCAGACACTTCCTAGTGTGTGACCTTGGGCAAGTGACTGTGCCCTGTTTGCCTCAGTTTCCTCATCTGTAAAACGAGCTGGAGAAGGAAATGGCAAACTGCTTCTGTATCTCTGCCAAGAAAACCCCAGATGGGGTCATGACAGGTCAGATGTGACTGAACAGCAGCCCTGTTAGCCAGGTCCCAAGCTCCTCCTTGGAAGAGAAAACAGAACTCGCGGCCCTTGGGACTCCCTGGTCATGCCCGTCACCCGGCCCCTGGCTGGGCCGCATCTTGAC